AGGGTGGGAGTGAGAGGGTACGGCAGGTCTGAGAAGAGAGTTTCCCGAGCCCAAATGTAGACTTTGAAAAGGTGGGGACAGGGGAGGAGGAAGCGGAATGTGGATCTTCTTTGTTTACGAATTTGTTGTCAACCCCCACCAGAATGTAATCGGCTTGAGGGTCTACCTTATTCATTCTCCATCCCCAGGGTCTAGAATCATAGTGAATGAACAGGTAGGAGCCAGATCACAGAGGGCCTTTGAGATCATGGAAAGTTTGGGAATCTCATCTAAGAGGGAAAACATCTGTTTCTGGAATCAAGAAAAGAAAATAGTTGTGGTGAATTAAAGAACCCACAAAATGACACTGGAACTACCCGTCAGATACCCCTGAAGGGATCTTTATCCAACTCTTGAGTTCTGCCCTGCTGCACAGCAATGGGATGATGTGCCAGAAAACTTGCATGGAAAATTTTCCAGGAAGCCAAAAGCCAAAGGTACAGTGAGAAACTCTACAAAAGTCGATGTCAAATGCTATGAAATGTGGCTCATGAACTGCCAGCCTGAGAGGTCACAAGTTAAAGGACCTTACAACTAAATCCCTATTCGACTGAAATTTAAGAAATATAAATTCATAAACCCAATACACAGATGCAGAAAAAATAAATTGGGTAACTATTTATAGAATTTTGCATTTGAAAATTCACCTTACCCTGCAATTTTGAGTTGAGGCATTTTTACCTGTTTTCCATTTTCGTCTATGAAAACATATCTTAACATCTAGATCTGGAAAGAAAAGATGTTATTTTTACTTCAAAGCTTGCAAAATAATATGCTTTCCTGGGAATTAATTCCCATCTTGTAGATGGTTGGATATATCCACCGGAGATCCTTCTCAACAGGCTACCTGTCATGGTATAAACATAAAGGTTACTTTCTATTTAGTTCAAGAGCCCCATTACCCACCACCATGTCTACTGTCATTTAGATTGACACGCTCAATCAGAGCTCTGATGTTTCCTCCATCCCTTCAATACTTGATCCAATTAGACCTTAAGAAATGGAGGTCCTACACCTGTAAGGACTCCTTTCACAATTTTCCATTTTAACTTTCAGACCTTCATTTTTCCCTCAATGATTTCCTCCTCTTTCAATCCATCTACACAATATCCTATCCGATGTGATACCCAACTTCATGTCCATCAAAATACCAAGAATATATATGGGAAGTTGTCAATGAACTTATGTCAAAGTGAATCCTCTACAATGCCCCATGCCCCAAGTAATCTGGTAAATTTAAGTACTGCTACTCATTGATGGCAGTCCCTAGGGTCCCGAACAAAACCAATGCAATCAATGGTGCTTTAAAACATCTTTAAATAAAAAATAAGGTAAGATTTTATTATTTGAGAGAGAAAAAGATGAGTGGGAGGAGTGGCAGAAAGAGAAGCAGACTCCCTGCTAAGCAGGGAGCCAGACACGGGGCTCATTCCAGGACCCTGGGATCATGACCCGAGCTGAAAGCAGACGCTTAACCCACTGAGCCACCCTGGTGCCCCCAAAACATCTTTTTCTTTAATTGAGGGTGATCAAAGTGCCAGGTACTATTCCAAACCTTTTATATCCATTAACTCATTTAGTCCTCATAAGCAACCCATGAGAATGGTACTTTTATCCCCATTTTATCAAAGAAGCCCCAGGGGTACACAGAGGGTAAGCTGCTTTTTCACTGTTACCCCATTAGTAGGAATATGAGGCTGGGTTCATACCCAGGCAGGCTGGCTGCAGAGACCAGACCTGTGGCCATTAAAATATGCTGCCTCTTATTACACCATCCATGACTACTATGTATGTGCATCTGTGTGCAGAAACTCTTTGCAAAGCCTGTCTTATTTAAAGTTAATTATCTGCTTAGCCATTCTAGCACTGCATACAGCAGAAAGGAGCAGCAGCGGACAAAGGGCTCAGGGCTCGGGGCATGGATCTAGTTCAACAAGTACAAGGGCAATAATGATGCTGCTCAGTTAAAAAGGGTCCTATGCAAGTGAGAGCATGCAGCCTCATCCTAGTTTAGGGGCTGAGAGGGAAGACTTCCTGAAGGAAGTGATGTTTCAGCTAAAATAGGAGGATGAGCAGGAGTTGGCTGGGCAGTGTGGGGGATGGAAGGAGCAGAATGGGTGTCCCAGAGAAAGGGACTAACCTCTGAGGTCATGAGGATGGCCAGGGCACATCCCGAAATTTTTCTACAAAAGCCTCACTGTTTCTAGCTGTCACACCCCAAACTGGTCGACGTGATGCCCTGCTGGCCAAGAGGACATGGCTGGGCCATAGCACCAAACGCCACAGATTCACTCTTTCCTCCAGCCAGCCAGCTGCCCAGGCCAGAGAAGACAAGTGGTTTTAGAGGCATGGTTTCATCCAGGCACATCCTAGAATTAAAGTTACTTCAGGGATGCCTGCAGTAAAGCTGAAGGAAACACCCCAAAGGCCAAAGGAAGCATGTTTTATTGAATTTACAATGCAGAAAATATTTGTAGTTCCTTAGACATTTGCATTGCTATAAAATTACACTTTATGGTATAATTATTAATGGTTTGAAGAGAAATAAACAGTATAAACGAAATACAGCTGATACTATGAAAATGTAAACCATATAAATCAAAATCATGAAATAATTATTTAATACTCAGAGGCCTACTTAATATATACATATGAAATTTCTTACACATATATACAAAAGCCCACAAAAGCCTTCACTCTGAAGCCAATCACTGTACAAATATGAAAATAAATCTTTATCTTTTAACCTCAATTTTATCTTCAGCAAGAGGGTTGTGTGACTTGGGTTTATGCAAATCACATTTGGTATTAAATAATCAAATGTCACATATGTCATATAAAGCAGCAAGTAGAAAAAATAAATTATGAAAATGCATGAGGCTAAAAGTTAACAGTGAAAAATGTCTCCTTATCCAACATTCTTTTCCATGATGAAATTAAAATATTATCCAATGTGTCAGGATACATAAAAAAAAAAGGAACACTGTATAATTGTGATTTTAAAAGCCCTCAAAGGAAAAAATGAGTCAAGATGAGTTAGTTGCACAGGACTATGTGAATGTGTCACATTAAGTCTAGGTTAAAATCATTAATTTTTTTTTCTTATCAAAAATACACTTTGAGAACATCTTCCTGAAATGAAATGTTGGTGATAATGATGATTTTCCACCAATGCAGCTGAAAGAGCTTTTAAGTAACTTCTCTTCAAAGAAGATTGCTCACCAGAGCTCTAAGTCTCTGATTTGGGTTTTGTTGCCAAAATATTTATCCAGGTTCGAATAAAGATGATTGCTTTGTCTATCAAAGGCACCTATGCAATCTCTGTCTGAATCAGTGTGGGTGTAAACTAGCCATACAAGCTGGAGGCAACAGCCAAGGTAATACTTCTGTATCAAAGATATACTCTATATACAAACTGTCAAATACAGAGAGACATTTTGGGGGAAAATAAATAAAGGCAACACAGTAACACCTATACTAACACAGTTTTGTGCAAGTGCACCAGACACCTGAACAAGTGTCCCATATGTCAACACATAGATCCTTTCTAACCCAGGTTCCTAAGATGCCACAGAAGCAACCAGCCATGGCCGAATGTGCATCTTACAATGGCACAGAAATAACCACATCCTCCCCTATTCAGTTTGACAATATTCCACCAGCGAGGTGTTCTTTCTGGTCAAAAATGTAAACTTCTCTTTCTGTGACCAAAGCTGTTAAACAGCATGGTAGAGTTGCCAGGGATAGATTAAACTTTCCAGTAAAAAAACTAGATGTCAATAGAGAGAAGGCATGCTTTTACAAACTCAAGGATGTTGTGGCTCTTTATAATCTCGGTGTGTAACATATCTGGTCAGTTTTCACTAAAAAAAAAATGAAGCTAGGGAACTAAAGATTTGATCAGAAAAATCATAAACAGGAGAAAAACTGCTCCATGGAATTGTTTTAATTCAACAAAAAGGAATGTTATTAGCTTATATAATAAGTAAGTTATTATTTAAGGTTTTTTCAGCAGACTACTTGGAACCTGGACCTATATGAACCAAGGTAAGTTCAAATCTCTGGTTGGGGATAACTTAACTGGTTCAAGGCCACGGAGAACCAAAAACCAAAAACCAGGCTTCTCTAGGGTCAGGTGTTGACTCCTTCAGCTGTTAGAGACATTTCAGTGGAGAAGACTGGGAGGTACTGCAGGTTCTAGAAGGAGAGCAAGACCCACCACGCTGTTGGTGAGGAGGAGTCACTAGTCATATTAAACAAAGGACTCTGACTTCCCATTCCTAAGGACAATGCCTCTTGTGAAGAGAGGAGTTTCCAAAACCATACATAACATTTCTTTCATTGTTCATTATTTCAAGAAGTGAATGCTGGCCACTACGGAGTTCAGGGATTTGCACCATAGTGGAGATTATGCTTGTAAATGATGGGAAGGTCTGAAGCAAACATGCACGTCTTCACTGGGCAAAATGTTAAAGTGGTAGTGTTTTTTTTAATGAGATATATAATTCACATACCATAAACTTCACCCTTTTAACAATTCAGTGTTATTTCATATATTTACAAAGTTATGCAACCATTATCACAGTATTATAATTCCAGAACATTCTCATCCCCCCCAAAGAAACCACATCCCCATTAGCCGTCCCTCCGGCTCCTGCCTTTCCCCAGCCCATGGCCATGACTTGCTGGTATATATTTTTAAGTGAAGAGTTACAACTTTCCTGGGCATTGTACTTTTACTAGTATGTAGCCTCCTATCTTTTCATTAAAATTTTTAACATGGAATTTAAACCATGGACTTTGTTGAGATGTATTTTGTTTTTTTTTTGTTCTAACTTTTTGTCACACAAACGTTTCTTCCTTTGTACATAAAAAAATAGATTTTTCTGTCTCCACTGGAGCCTACAACATTACCATTTTTTTTTTCAATTAAATTCTGTTGTTTCAGAAATGAGAAAAATCAATACCCCAATATTTAAAAAGTATGACTAACCAGAGTCCTTATTAACTGTGAGCCATCATGGTCTCCTTCCCACTCGGTACAGTGCACCGAATCCGAGGGGCCAAGGCCTGCAAGGCCAAGCTGCTTGTTTTGCAGATGAGGAAACAGATCTAACGTGGGCTGCTAACAGGTCTGAGACTACAGGCTAGTTAACAGCAAAGCTAGCATGATAATCCCCTTTTACTAGTATTCTAGTATCAAATATTTGAAAAAAAATGTTCTAGGTTATCTACAAAGTCAGCTACCATGTGAATCTTTGTCAGGGAGTTTCTTCTACAGCTTCGATCTGAGCATGTGATTTTTTAACATTTTTTTACATGTTATCTTTTGAGACTCTGCAAGGACAAGACAAGTACTTTTAACCAGGGGGCCTCAATCGTTCACTGAAACAGAGCAAAGAGCTGGGGCTCCAGAAGGATCTAAGAGCACAGTTCAAATTCCCACACTGTAACTTTCCACCTGGCTGTGTCTGGAGGATGCACCCGTCTGCGAGAAGCAAACAAGTCACAGACACTCAGTACTCGGACTGAAGACCTGACAGGCCAGGGAGGTTTGGGATTTAACTATTGCAACAGTTCTTCATCTGGGTTGACTTTTTGGAACTGGTCCCGGTCAGATTGGTAATGGATTTGCTGTCATCTTCATCAGTCCTTTTTTTCACTTCCCTGGGGGGCGGGGGGAGGGGAGGGAGGGAGAAACAGAGACAGAGAGACAGAGAGAAAATGAATTAGTGAGGTACAAAACTAAACCACAAATGGTTCTGTAAAATTAAAACAACACTGCTGAGCACTTGCTGTATGTCCTCCAAACATTGTTCTAAATGCTTTGTAGGTATTGACCGTCTTAATCCTCACAAGGACCATGTGAATTTGTTGGGCCCCATTTTATATGTAAGGAAGCAAAGGCAAAAAAAAAAAAAAAAGGTTAAGCAGTTTCCCTTCAGTTACTGGAGAAGCTGCAGAGCTGGGCCTGAAACCACGCCTGCGCTCTGAGTACCAGGCCACACTCACCACGCACAAGGCAGGCACACACGAGACACATGTGCACAGGTGCATGTACGCACACACATAATCTACTATTGCTGTCTCCTGCAGTTTCACATGCTTTCCAGTCTGTCACAGGCACAGCTCACTCCTTAGCACTCTGGGACCTGGCTTCCATCCCCGACTAGCGCTTGCTGACCTTAACAAAAGCAATGATGACTTTAAAATCAATCTTTAATTATACAAGATCATGAAGATAATGATGAATGGTTAAAATCCAGGGGGAAAAAAATCTTCCTTTTGCCTCTTCCTAAATTTCTTTTAGAATTAACAGCTAGAGGCTACAATGGCAAAAGATCTCTAAGATCTTGTGAAGACCTCCTAGGGACAGTATCCTTCCAAGTACATTCCCAGGGATCCCTGTGAAACAAGCAGACCCTGAAGTCCCACCTTAGACAAGACCCTGAATGGCAATCTTGACTGTGACAGCTCATCCCCAAGAGGCCCCCAAACAATCCTACCTTCCCCATCAGTGCTCGGGGTCCCCCCATTAAGACTAGGAAGCCCCCACCAGGGGTTCTCCCTCCACAGTACCGGCTCTGTGACTGCTTAGATCAACAGAATGCAGAGGAACTGGTGGGCTGGGACTCCAAGCCAGGTGTTAAAGCTGCTCTCGGCTGCCAGGGCTCCTCAGTGGAGAAGGCCACAGAGTGGCCCTGGGGACAAGCAGCCAGAAGGACTAGGACCCTGGTGGCAGACACCCAGCCGGAGCCTTAGCCCCACGACCATCTGACTGAAAATGCACGAGACACCCCAAGTAAGAGCAGTCGAGGGACCTTCCAGCTGAGATCCAGCTTATTCTGGTAATTTCAAGAGATTAAAAAGTGGTAGTTGTTTTAGGTAAACACGTTTTAGTTTGTTACACAACGGCAAATACCTGAAGCTACTAAGAACTGGCATATTCCTAGTACAGCAATGTGGTTCAATGTAAATATAATGTAATCCACATATGTGACCTTAAATTTTTTAGTAGCCACATTTAAAAATGTAAAAAGAAACAGGTAAATTTAATTTTATTAACAGATTTTAACTCAGTATAACAAATATATTGTCATTTTAGCATGTTATCAATAAAAATAATAATGAAGTATTTTACGATTTTTATACTGTTTTCAAAATCTATACCTACAACACATCTCGATTTGGGTTTGCCACACTTCATGTGGCTTGTGGCTACCAAATTGGTCAGCACGACTCCAGATGGTGTTGATATGTGCTAACTTTTGAAAACCACTATACTGTGAGTTGGAAAGAAGACATCTCAGCAAAAGAAAAAAAAGAGGGAGGAATTAATTCTTGCTGAAGGCCAGCTAATAAATGCTATACTATACATTTTCACATTTTTCTTATTTAATACACATAAACAATCACACAACATACACACACAACCCTGACAGAGGACAGGTGAGCATTATTGTCCTTACTTCACAGATGAGGAAACAAAGACTCAGGAAAAGAAGGAAGGTACACAATCCAACCTAGAACACTCCATAAGACTCATTTCAGTCTTCTGACCTCCAGAACTGGAATGTGATACATGTGCATTGCTTAAGAGACTATGTTTGTGGGAATTTGTTAAGGCAACAACAGAAAACTAATACAACTTCCAACTGCATCATCTCAGACATTTGATCATTCAACAAATGCCCAATTTATGCCAAACTCTGGGACCCTCTCTTAGTGAGCGTTGAGGGAGAGACAGAAGGCTAAACAAATCATTACAAGGTCCCTTGCACAGTGTGATGCATGAATACAAAGGGTACACCACAGTCGTGCTGGCCCTCAGGGAAGGAAGGCTTTGTGGAAATGGAGCTTCATGGACACTTTGACACTGGAGGGACCTCCTGAAAGAACAGGAATTGACCTTCACTTAATGAGGAAAAAGATTCCAGGTGCAAGGAACAGCATGCATAAAGGCAAGGAGACATAAAAGAGCTTGGCCACAACTAGAAATAACGTTTGCTGTGTCTACAGATATCATTCCTTTGGGAAGCAAGATAAGAGATGCAACCAGAAAGGCAGGTGAGGCCAGACTGTGAAGGTTTGGACATGCTGGATACAGTCACGCCTTTGGGATTCCCTCTTGTTGATGGGTGGGGATGTGGTTATAGAATTTTAAAAAGAGGTGGAGGTTAAAAATACAGAAATTGGAGAAGTCACCAGCAAGAGACAGTTCTAGAAACCCTGGGGGTAGAAGACAGTAGGCAGAGAGAGAGTAAAGAAGAAGAGAATGTGGAATGCAATCCTAACATTGCCAACACTGAAGCAGCAAGCTGATGCTCCAGCGTGGCAGCGACAAGTCCCAATGTTGCCACTTAGCAGCTGTGTCACTTTGAGCAGGTTGATTAGCATTCTACTCCTCCACTTTCTTATCTGTACAATGGGTATAATAATCATAGCACCTTCACAAGACACCCCACATCTCTCCCTTCTGGGTGGTCCAATGGCCTCTATAAGCTACAATCATCTGGCTCCCTGGTCAAATGTTTTCTCTTTTCTTTTTCCTCTCGTTAAATTGCATGGCCTGCAAATATTTATTTCCTCGGTATCACTACTGAACCACATATGTGGCCTCCACAGGCTGAGTGCTCACAATAATGCAGACATTTTATTGAACCTGAAAGCAAATATTAAGGAGGAAAAGTATGTACCCACGTTGTTCATCTGGCCTTTCGTTTCTTTAATCCACCATAAGTGCAGGCATGTCCTTCCCACTTCAAGGAAATCAGACAGATATTCCAAACACCTACAACAGGTTTAAGGCTGGGAATACTGGACTTTCTCACTAAAAACTACCACATGCTTGACAATTGCATGTTAGGTGACTCCGTCTCACGGGCAGATTTACGGGATCCCAACAGGCTCAGCTCCTGAGCTGAACAGATACATACATCAACCTGAGCTTTTTTTGTTTTGTTTTGTTTTCAAATCTCAGGCCATTAATCAATTAAATGCCTTTGGAAGCTGAATCTGCAAAATGTGTAAACCTCGTGGTTCTGGTGATGGCAAATTCACTTGCCGACGGACAATGACTGTGATAAATGTCCTGTCAGCACTATGGGGAAATTGCATTTCTAGGAAGCAGTTTTCTTGGGATTGAGAGGTTTCCAGAAAAAGTAGTACTCGTAGTTTCTAGTTCTGGGTGTTAACCAAACATTCATGGCCTCCCTTCAAAGCAGAATTCTGTTTCGACAGTGTAAAGCCATAAACTCGTCTAGTTCACATTTTATGACATGACACAGCATGAAAGGTGCCCGTGATGGGAATTGTCTTAACGAGATCTAAATCGAGAACATAACATATTTTACATTATACGTAACTTTCTAAAGGATGTAACACTTTTTTTTAATATTATTTATTTATTTGAGAGAGAGAGAGCATGAGCAGTAGGGAGAGGGAGAAGCAGACCCCCACCCCCCCACCCCCCGCTGAGCAGGGAGCCCAACACGGGGCTCGATCCCAGGACCCTGGGATCATGACCTGAGCCGAAGGCAGATGCTTAACAGACTGAGCCACCCAGGAGCCCCAGGATGTAAAACTTTTTCACCTGAGGCAACTCTACCACTTCCATGTAAGACTTAGGCACTTTAACAAGCAAATCTGAAGGCAGGATATAAAGCAAATTAAATTTTTTAAATATTTGCTTTATTTATAATTTTCCTATTTAACACATCGCTAACATGACAAAACCAGAGACCTCACACCAGGCCATCATGCAATAACAACGATAGAATAACTCCTTGATGAGTGATTCCCAAAGAGTGACCTCGTGATCAAAAGGCCTGTGCGCACAGGTGTGTTGAGTAAAGAAGCACAGGGCTGTGTGCAAGCTGCACTGAAAACAGGGCACGGGGCAGGAGCAGGTGGGGGGGAGATAGCACAGGCGGCTCACAGCCTCTCCCACCTTTATGATACAATAAAGAGAATCAATTCGGCACTCTGGGTGTGACCATGGCAATCTGGCATCATTTAACTTTAATATGACCCCATAAGACAATTCAGCATTAAATAGCGACCGGTATTCCGTGGGGGTACCGGCAGTTCTATGTAGAACCACAGACCGGCAGAGCTAGAGAGGACCTTGGGGGTCACTTTCTCCAGCCCCGTCCCTCATTTTACACATTAGAGATGCCGAGAGGGAGGCAGGGACTTGTCCAACTCCACAGCTGTTCGGAGGGGGGGCGATTTAAGATCGCACTTTGAGCCTCCCGACACCACAGTCCTCCATTAAGCGGAATAGGAGGCAACAGCCTCGCAGGGGGCCTGGCATGCACCGTCCTTTTCTGCGGGGCTGGAGCAGCAAGCCAGCACCCCACTGCCAAAGCTAGGGTGCGCTTCTCCCTGCCTGCACCGGTTCAGCTTCGGGCCCAGTGATGCTCTGAAGACCTGCAGGCCCTTGCCAGACCCCTCTAGCCCAGCAAGCACATCACCTCCACCCAGGAATCCCCAGGTACATTGTAGCAAAACACCAATACGAACACCCAAGAAAGTATAAACACCTACCAGTTCAGCAGTGAGTCCACCCTCAGTGTGTTGCACGGAATCTCCCCCCGCCTCTGTTGAATGAGCCTTCCTTGGCCAAAATGGCCAGCGGCCCCTTCGCACCAACAGGTGTACAGAGTTGATTACTTCACCCAGCTTATGAAGGTTTTACTTGGGTTGTTTGACAAATGTGGTATGAGCCCATGATTCTCCTACTAAAACCACGTCATTAACCTTGAATCTCTATGTGCTTAAATGTTTACCTTTCTTCCACCTGCTCTAAGTCACACTCACAGTGTGAGTCTTTGCTTTGCACAAAAAGGTGGTGGGGGCAGGTGGCTCTTTCTCTTGGACTGATATCAAAGGAAATAATGTCCAAAGACTCTGAGATCGAGCCCAAGGCATGTGCCAAGCCCTGCTACAGACTAATGCCAAGCAGGCCGTTTAAAGTCCTGGGGCTCATTTCCTGATTTTCTCAAGTGAGGGCAAGGATCTCGCCCAAGGCCCCAGTCTAAGCAGCTAGCAAACACTATAAATACCAAGTCATTGATAGAAAAACAGCACTGAAAACACTACTTGTCACTGTATATGAGCAGAAGAGGCCAACTATCATACTAAAGCTAAGATTTTTGTAAAATTTCACAAATGATCAGGAAAAAAACTACACACCCAAAATTATGGCTTCACTTTGTCGGCAATTAAAGATCATTGGCCTGAATTCTGCTCATGCTCATTTTCTTTTCTTTTTTTTCCTTTCCTTTCTTTTTTCTTTTGGATATTTAATCTCTTCAGGCCAGTAAAGAATCATCTTTTCATTTGTGGCAGAAAACTAGGCAGAAGACATAAATCTAACAGATAATGTTATTTCCTAAAAATCAAATTTACTCCAAGGATTAAAAAACCCATTTATATCCAAGTTCCTCAAGGATGTAATTTTCATTCTAATCTACATCCCAAAATGTTATTTATTATTAACACCATTGCCTGAGCTTAATAATTACCTGAGTAATTATTTTAATAAAGTGCTTCCAACTGGCATGATATACAATTTGCTTCGTTGAGTTGTTTTTTTTTCCCTTTACCCCAGAAAATGTCATAATAGATAGTTAATTTCATAATAGTCTCTTGTGTTTAAAATCTGGTTCCTGGAAATGATTCATACAAGTCAACTATTAGCTCTGTGGTGACATTTTGCAGAAATGTCAACGACACCTCAGATGCACCTGCTTTGTTTGGTGGTAAAGGCACTTCGCCAACGTTCACAGTGAATAAGCAGCACTACTGGTTTTTATAAAATCCGTGTTCAATTGTTTCTCTAGCCACTACTGAAATACAAGACAGTGTTTTCCAATGTATATTCATGTCATAGCCCAGAAATTTGATATATGCACCAACTACGTGAAAATTCAATCCTGTTTTCATTTTCCAAATATAAGACAACACTTTACCGAGCAAGATGGAGAACAGCTTCCACTATATTCGAGCCGTCTTTGGCGCTGGTTTCACAGAACAATGCCCCATAGGTCTGCAGAAAAGAAAGAGACACAATTAAATGAAGTCTTTATTTAAGGCTCCTGGAAGCCTTTACAACCCACAAATAAAATAAACACATTCTCCTGTTGAGTATGCTAATAGCTAAGACACTGGATTCACAGTTTCGATACTTTAAAAAATAGTGAATTTGAGTCGAGTTATTCCAGACACAGCTCCTAGTCAGGGGATTTTTATTTTGCCTTAAAAGTAACAACAATACACAATTTCATGTTTTAAGGTTCTTATCCCCCACAGTCCTACCAGTTGCTACAAACGTTCTCCATCAGATAATCTGAAAGAGGTAAAAATGATAGCTTAAGGTAACCACTCACGAATCAAATGTCCATCAAAGGTATGTCTCCTCTGGGCTGGCAGCTAACATGCATCCCTTCACACTACCATCTTTTCCTATCAAGATTCAGCAACCTCCGTGTTGCTAAAAACCAACGGACACTGTCTAGTGCTCTATTATTCTACTTCCCAGCGGTTATGTATATGACCATTGATGATTATCACTCTCCTGCTTCAAGACTTTCAATGCTTCCCGCTCCTCTCCAAGTAACGCTCAGATGCCTCCCCATGGCCGACAAGGCCTCTCGTCCGTGTAGCCCTGGCCCACCTCCTAGCTTTACCTGCCACCCTCCTCCCTCGCTCGCACTGCCTCGGTTACTCTGACCTTCCCTTTGTTTCTCCAATGTTCCAAATTCCTCCGACCTCATGATCTTTGCACCTGCTGCTCCCATTACATGCATTATGCCCTTCCCCCCATCAGCCCCCCTTCTCCAGGCTGATTCCTACCTATCTTTTGAATTTTTCCGTAATCCTTCCCTGAAGTTAAGATTCAGTGTTGTCTAAGCCTGACACGTCCCTGTTACGTTAGGTCTTGCTATTAGGAAACCTCACAGCCCTCTGTGTTTTTCCTGCATTGCACTTGCCAAACTGTAACTGATGAAGTTATTTGTGTGTGTCTGCCTCGAGACAATGTCCCTGCGGGAAGGAGAACTGCATGTGCCGTGGACCTGGGTGTGGGTGATGCAGTATTGTGTGGGGCTAAGGGGAGGATGTCATGGCCGCTCCAGAGCGTGGAGAGAGAGAACGAAACAAGGGGAAAAGACTCCACCGTGGGACCTTTACCCATGAGCCCCCAAATCCACAGAAAATATATAACAATCCTACAATGAACATGAATGGATTTCTAGTGGGAACGGGTAGTGCTGCTGCTGAGTTCTATTGCTAGGATGTTATGGGGTGACACGGAGACTGTCCCTGAGGGTACAGGAGGGTAGGGGTCACGAGATGCGTAAGTGAGCAAACATTGGGAACTCAAAAATCCTGAGGAGGGGATAAACCCAGCGTGTGGCCGGGAATTACGTGCTCTCTAAGGGGGCGTGTGGGACAATGTGGCATGCGGATTACATACGTTTAATATGTATCTCCCCCAGAAATGAAATATATGAAGACAAGGACTGCCTGCTCTGTGCTCTAGTCCTTCCCCAGCACACAATGAAGTGCATAGGATTAAACATGCAGAATGAATCTCTTCTGTGCCTCACTGCTGAGCTTTGATGTTTAGCATGTTTGGTCCATAGTTCTAAAATTTAACAAGATTTTCCAACTTAAAACAGTGACTGAAACTTCTTTTTACAGTCATGTGCACGCGCTACAGCGCAGTCTCTCCATGCGCCCACGCGCACCACCCAGGCAACGGTATCAGATCAGACGGCGATGGCGTGGGCTTATCCGACCCCCCGTACCTCTGATGCCTTGTTTAGGAAAGACAGGTCCTAAGGGGGACCTGGAGCAGTCTCACACGCTGGTTGTAACGGAGAATGAACACTGCCCCCAGTAATCAACTGGATAGAAATGAGCTTCATTTCTATACAAGCGCATAACCAGAAAATAATTTTAGACTATTCAACTAAGCATAAATCTTAGAGGAAAAAAAAAAAAAACAAGTTTCCCAATTCTATTCCACTGAGGTAGCACACTGCCCTTTGGCACAGTAACCCTCAGGAACTAAACCACATTTTCTAAACGTGACACCCATTCCTTTGCCTTGACGTGGATTCCAGAACCAGAGGAGAGTCCAGGAGCTGGCTGAGGGTGAGGGGGAAGGCAGGATAATTCTGGCTCCTCCTTGTCAACGCTCTTCAATGGGGGAAAATGACCAAGTGATCATTTTAGCTCCATGAGAGGTTTAATCCTTGGTACAATTACTTACATTCATACATTCATCAAAGTGTGTGTAGTGGGGGTGGGGGTTGTGGGGGCACCTGGGTGGCTTAGCCAGTTAAGTGTCTGCCTTTGCTCAGGTCCTGGGACCAAGCCCCGTGTCAGGCGCCCTGTTCAGTGGGGAGCCTGCTTCTTCCACTCCCTCTGCCCCTCCACTCCTCCATTCATGCTCACGTGTGCTCTTTCTCTCTCTCTCTCAAATAAATAAGATTTTAAATATAAAATAAAGTGCAGGGGAGGGGGCAGCACTGGGAGTTCTGCCTGAATAAGAAGGCCAGGAGCCCCATCATAAAGGGTGGAAGTTTGCCAAAGAACCTCTGAAAGCGAATGTAGACAGAAGTGAAGGGCCGCTGACTGCAAAGCTCATGAACGGCTAAGGTCTATCCCAACAGACCCACTTTCGCCCTTACCATGGCCAGTTTTTCTCCCAAGTATCCTGGGACACACTTCTGTTCCTCTGCTGTGGCAGCATCACGGAGATCAGCCTTGTTTCCTACCAACATGATAGGAATACTCTCCTGGGTTGCATCCTGCCGGGGGAAAATAATTGTGTGTTCATCAAATAGTGAATAAGTTCCATTGACAAGAGCAGCCATACCAACAGCAGCTTCCACTCTCTAAATGCCCCGTGGGAGCCACATGACCTGGAAGTAATATCGTCAAGCCTCAAAATCTCTCTACAAAAGAGCCAAACTTTTTCCCATTGCCAGGTGAGACCACTGAAATTCAGAGAGGTTAAACAAGATCTTACATAGGCCGGGGCCACGGTCCAAATGCTCCCCATCATCCCTGCCACCATACGAACCAATATGAACTCAAGAGGCAAGAGCACAGAATTATACGTGGCTGTGGCACCCACACAATTTTCTGCGACTTTCACTCCAAACAGTGATGACAAGTCAACTTCATTATCTCAGGTACAAAACACACAGGAAATCCCTCACCCATCAGGGGATAAAAACAGAGCTTGGAAGTTCCACACTCACTGCGATCTGGCTTACAACAAAAGCAAAATGTGAAGGTCCTAAAGGGCAACATTTTTCTTACAAGGAGTCAATTACCAATCATTTGAAGGAATCGATTCTAAGGCTAATGCTCTCAAACCAGCTTAGGCAAAGTCCCAGGTCCACAGGGGGCCTGAAATCAGGCGAAATGCTGCATGTTTCTGCCTCAGTTTCCCCACTGGTAAAATGAAGGGGATAGTGAGGGCACACCACACCTCCGCAGGCTCTGAAGAGAACAGAGGATGATAACCTGACTGGCCCAGAAAAACAGGGTTCTGGTTCCTAGGCCAGAGCAGCGGCAGCCCTGACCAGGGCATGTGGAAGTGACCTTCCGCAGTGCCTACAGGTACCAGCTGTGCTTTCAGTTCGCTGCTACCCCTGCCCCAGGATCAAGAAATGAGCCTTAAAAATAATGGCATTACATTCGATTTCCTTTCTCTTCAGACCATTCTCCTCCAACTGAGGGCAACGGAGTGCAGTAACAGCAGAGGCGGGAAGGGAATGAAGGGCGCTCTCCAAAACTAGGTGTCCCGTCCATTGAGGTGTTCATTAACTGTGTTCTTTGGTAAACTCTTCAGGTTCCAAGAGGGCAACCTTTGGAAGCCACTCAACATATACTCCCTTAAGTGAGCCAAGAACCCAAGCATCTAAAGGATTTCCCAAAGTTATTCCAGTAAATACGGGCAACTCCTTAAAGTCTTGATTAGAACACCACCTTCCAGGAAGGCTGCCCTGACCACACCATCAGGCCCCTTACCCTGCCTTCTTCTTGTTTCCACAATATTTGTCATATTCTATCATTCCATTTATTTGTTTGTTGCTTGTTATGTTTCCCCTATGCGGGTACAAGCTCCCCGACTATGGGCGCATTGCAGGCTCTGGAACGTGCACAAAGCAGGCACTCCAAAAATTCTCCAGAATGTGTAAAAGTCGGGAAGAGATCTCACATCTCAAGTGTCTCCTCCATTCAATGTTCACCCAAGTATTCAACCAATACGTTATTCACAACAGGTAAGTAAATGGCCTTCGTTTTATTTTACCCATGATTTTATTGCAGGATTGTGTAATCCAGTGGTTTTTATCGAAGTGTATTAATTATTAATTCATCACTGACCTTCTACTACCCCTCAGCCCTCCAGCCTACCCCAACAATCACACTCTCAGTTTCCACCCATATTTATAGTGGCCACCTATAGAATTTCCTCACAGAATTTCCTCAAATTAGAAAGGCTGAGCCATGGCAGAGGTTTATCATGCCCATTTTTCCCGAAGGTGAAAGTCAAATGCCAAGTGGTACCTAATTTTTCCCCATGGCAAATTCAAGAATTCATCTTGAACATAGTTTTCATCCTTTTCAGACCATGTGAAAGGTGATCCACGGAGCTGAAAAGGTCACTTACCACGTGTAGGTGATTAGCAAATGATGGCAAATTACGGGGTCCCGGCACACACCATGGCTGGTCACTAAGGGCTATTTCAACACTGGCTGACCTTGCCTTTGGGCCTCCTGGCCTTGCGCATAATCCAAGGACTTAAAATGCAGACTAAGTACAAAAGTTTTAACAATAAAAAGTTTTGCCGTGGATTTTAAATATCTGTGGGTACGAGTCTGTGGGGATTATGTTACTCTCTGGACTCATCGCTCTATCCCAGGGAGGTCCATCTGTTCCCTTGAGCAGATGCTTTTCCTCTGTGCACTAAATGCACCTTGGAACTCCTCTCTGGACACCAAAACCTTCTTTTCTCAACCCACTGCTTCCTCTGGTGCTCTATCAGAGCAGCAACCAGGGCTGAATCAGGAGATCCAAGGCCCCATTCAACCCCTGCCCTCTAAATAACCACAAGCCAGGACCATATACTTTCTCTACCTCAGGTTTCTCATAAAAAGTGAGAGTAACATTACACTTCTCACTTCTTTCCTCAGATATGTTACAGAGATGAATATAACATGTGGCAATTTTGTGAAATAAAAATGCTACATAAATGTCAACACACTTCCATCATATTTATAATAATTTTAGGTCATGATATTTCAGTAGAACAAAATGCACATCTCACAACACTTCTTTAGTTAGAAAGAGAACATTCTATTTTTTTTACAGGGTATGAAATAAGCCCAAAAGAAGAATCTAGAAGCTAACCTGATATATAGCAATCAGTTCTGTTTAGCCAACATTGCACTGTTTAATGACTGTTAAAAATTAGAGATAATACACTTAATTGAAAAATTATATTAGCCACTATTTTTTTTTCCAAGAGAGTATACTGAACCACAGCTTGAACTGTAGTTTTATGTTAATTATTAACTGTTGGCAGCATACTAACTGTGGTCAAAATCATTTCCTACTTTTGGAAATTATTTACCATGAAACCAAAGGATATGAAAGCTCCTCAGATGAAAGACACCATCTCATTTAACCGAAGAAAAAAAAAGCACAGATGTTACCATGTTTAAAATACCATAAGGGGTTCTAATTTTATCTGTAAAAAAACCGGAAGTTTTATTCCCAGAAGCTCCCTTCTGTGGTATCCATGGCTCTGTGGAAACTCGCCCAGCTAGTGAGGAAGAGACCAATACTGCCAAGTGCCATGAGACAGGCCCCCTCTCACATCCAGTCCTTCCTGACGAGCCTGGATCTCTAATGGTGTGCACTTCAACAAAGAAGAAAAATCACGTTTTCTAAGATGGTCTGTGACACCCATGTAATTTTTTGTTTCTCGGTTTTGATGTCTTACCTCAATCATGTCCACCCATTCTCGTACATTGAGAAAGCTTTTCTCGCATGTAACATCATACAGTAGCAGAACACCATCTGCTCTTCTGAAGTAAGACTTGGCGATACTTCTGAATCTGGCAGAGAGAAAAGCATGTAAATAATGGTTCTAATCAGTCTGTTGGTCAGGTGCTGCCCCTTCTTCATCTCTTTTATGCTCGCTTTTTTCTCATCTTCTAAGATAAGCCCCCATCTGCAAGAATCTAATGGCAACCTGGCACTGTGACAGAGCTACCTTGGACGACTGGAATGACTCAGTGGAAGCTAACAGAATAATTTGGGGCGTGATCTACGAGAGCCAAGCAGTTTCTCCATCAAACAATCCCAAGAATGTCTACAAATCCCAAAGGATAACCAGGGACAAGGTTGAGAGCGTAATTTCTTAAAAATTTCAGCCCCGGCAAAAAGCTTCCAAACCCACACATGGAACACAGGTAAGGAGATGCACAAGAGAGAACACCGTGGTTTGGGGGGTGGGAAGGGAGTACTGTGAGGGGTGGTGTGGAAGACGACCTAACAATGTGGAGTACCACAGCATGCCAGAAGCTTTATACCTATGGGGTGCGGGGCGGTTCGCTAGTGGAAGAGCATTCCTCAACATATATGTCCCAACTCTAAGCCAACCACAATATTTTATAGCATCTTAAAAAAGGCCATGTTGACCACAAATGTTTTTTAAATGTTGAAAGTCTCAGTCTGTTACAGAATGTGAGCTCCATGTGAGCAGCTTTTGTGGATTTGTGTCTGCTCCCTGTGGAATCTTCGCAGCCTGAACAGTGCCTGGTACAGAGGCAGGCTGCAACCCATACTCACTAGTGGAACAAGTGGAGAGATGCTCTTTCCAAAGAGTTAGACAGGATTAAAACGTATGCTTGATGCTTCCGGTCATCGGCAATGAACGCAAGAGAAGGCAACATCACCAGACGTGAGTCTTCTGTTTAGTTTGGGCCTCTGCCCTTGAACTGAGGGGAGCTGACAGATTCCCTCTTCCATCTTTTATTGAGCTTGGCTAAGTACTCTTCACACTGACACGTAACCTAAATTCTCTTGTTCAGAGAGGGCACTCTCCTTTTCCCAACTGAACAGCAGCTCAGAGGAAGCCTAACGATCTCCACACACAACTGACATGTAAATGAAGGAGGAAAGAATGTGGGGACATGCAAGCATTCCTGAAATCCTAATATACTGTGTAATTATACTGTGTATTATCATTATAGGATTATGAGCATTAAAAACTACCCAGTGTGCCACAAGGCCCGTCTATGCAAACCAAAGCCAAGCCCGCTGCGCTGTGGAAAGCACTTGCCTCTCCTGACCCGCCGTGTCCCAGAGCTGCAGGACTGTTCGCTCTCCGTCCACAATGAGAGTTTTCATCTGAAAATCGACTCCTGAAAAGGAATTACAAGAGAACATGGGGAACATGATGTAAATAATTCCATTGGGTTTTACTCTCAAGCCCTCTGTAGATAAAACAAAAGCTGGTAAGCCAAAGCTGAGTGAGGTAGAGAGGGAGGAATGTGGCCTTCAAGGAGGGTGACCTTCAACTACTAATTGCAAGTCAGACCACACATGTGCACACAGATGCACCATCTGCAGGGTGGCTAATTTGGGGAAGGATTTAATCTATGGACAAAAGGAAAACCTATGTTCTATTTGCCCATGTAATTAGATGAACTCGGTTATGTCTCCATGTTTACATGTTTGTGCTTGTGTACACATTAATATGTGTATGTGTGTACATATCTGTGTGTGGATACATATGAGATATGTACATTTGCCATGCTCTTTAGCAACTGAACAAAACACAGTGGTCTTTTTATGAATCAAATTAAAGTGAACTTTCAGCTTTGTTATCTTGAAGGGTATCATGAAGAACCATAAATTTACAAAGACGCCCATTGTGAAGAGGGTAATCAATCTGTTCTAATATTTCTAGTCATCAAAATAAGAACTCTTTAGATAAAGAAGAAAGGTGAATGATAATTTGCATACCTTCAACTCCTTTTACTTATGCAAATTTGGGAAATCAGGACACTTCTTCTCTTGTTCTCACGAGTGTTTACTCATGTATTCCGTTGTAAAGGAGGGGGAGGGATCATACACCTGGCTATGATCTTGACCATGACAAAGTGGCCATCAAGAATGTCACTTTATCAACATCAAATGACGTCTTATCAGAAAAGCTTTCCCTGGCCACCCTGTGTAAAAACTGCACCTCTCTCCAAATCTCATATTCTTTTATTTTCACCCATTGCCCTCCTTTGGGATGAAGTTTCCTTGCAGGCTGGGATTTAGTTGACTCTGTTCATTGTGTGTCCTTAGCACCTACAACAGTATCCGGCTCACAGCAGAACTCAGGAAATGTTTGCTGAATAAATGAATCTGTCATCTCTGGTTCTAAACTTGGTCTGGTTGCTCTAACTGGCTAAGTGGATACCTTTGTCCTTTGTCAGTTTTCTTTTCCTAAAGTTGGGCCTTCACCAAAACAGAAGACCATGCTATAGACAAGGGCGCGTGCGCACACACACACACACACACACACACATCCCTATATATTATATATGTATACAGAGAGATCTGTGTATATGTGTATCTAATCTCTAAGGAAAACAAGATCAAGCTAAAAGAAGGTCATTTCCCCCTTACTGACTGAAGAATGAACCATACCCAGGGTGGCACTGGTATTTCCTCGAAATTCATTCTTGCAGAGTCTCATGAGGAAACTAGACTTCCCCACTGCAGCATCCCCAGCGAGCACAATCTTGTAAGCCTTCTGTGAGCTGGAGGATTTAGGGTCGCCATCCACCATGTCTGTCTAGGGGGAAAAAGCCACAGGGAGTGACAAAGGTCATGCCAATGTTCTTCCTAGTCAGTTATACAGCACCGAAAATTCACAGTGTTCATGAATAAAGTAACTCTGAAACTACCTACCTGTGGTGACAGAGCCGAGATGGGCTTTCTTGAAGAACTGACAATGCTGCCCTCACTAGTGGACCCCTGGAGTTTCCAGTCTAACATGGCGGCCACACCATCTGCACCAAACGTCTCTTCATCCCTTAGATCAGGAACCTGGTTTGTTTGGTTTTTTTTTTTTTTTAGTCAGCCATTAAAAAACAAAGTCTCTCATTACACATATATATCATGGATTAAAGAGAAGAAAAATATGCAGCTGAATCTATAGTCATTGCTGTTACAGAACAGAGTAGCCCCAAATGGCAAACTGTGGAAATTTCTCCCTACCCTGGTGGAGAAAAAAAAAACATTCTACTGACTATGTTTCATATTTATAACCTTTAGGTCGTATTCCCATGACAGATACAAGTCAAACAGGGTGACAGATTTCTATTGAAGGTACGGCCCAGGAGACAGTGATTTCTGGGGCTTACGTCTATGTCTGAAGCATCGCCCCCAAGGCTCTCCTGTGTGCCGTGTGACCTCTGAAGTCCCCTCTGGTGCTTGTATTCCACCTCTGAGTCGTACTCGTTGGAGTCTCTCAGCGTAGACAAGCCGCTGTCGAAGCAGCTCTCGGGAAGGCTGTCCACCTCACAATTCATCCTCTGCATAGGGTCACAGAGGGCCAACGAGTCACAGTCCTCATCCACATAGGAGGAGCGGGATGACCTGGTGATAAAGGAGAAGAGAGTTTGCCTGAGGCTTCACAAAGCTCAGGACTACACACAGCAGTGGACTCAAGAAGACCAACACTCTCACTTCTGCCAAGAACCACAATGTAGTCCATGATTATTCATCAGCGGAAACAAAATGTTCAAAGCAACATCAGCTCATTCTGTGCAACAATCAATTAAGATGAAGACACTCAAGTCTAACATTTAATAAAAATGAAGCCATTTTTAAAATCACTTTATTTCCTGATACAAAAGGAATTGCAGTGTCCAGAGCATGAATGCAATCTCAAGTTAAGAAAAATGTATGCAGAAGATGTGAACCTTTTTACTTTAATGTGGTCAGACCATATTCCAAACAGCTCATCTATTTCTAGATAACAGCTCTACTTTTTAAAAGGGATGCTGAGAACCTGGATGAGAAAGGGAACCATGATGATGTAAGACTCAAAACCCTCAGACACAAGAAATGGTTCCATGAACTGGGCTTAAGTCTTCACGGTTTCCCTCTTCAAATATGCAGAGAGCTGAGACATGAAGAAGAAGAATACATTCTCCCAGGATGCACAAGACAAAATAAGGGCCAGCTGAAACTTTTCTGGGAGTCGTATTTCTAATCAATATGGTGAAAAATGACAGGCAATTAGAAAGGTGTGGTACCAAAATACGACATATGAGTTTTCTGCCACTGGGTGTTGATATATAGTCTAGAAAGACTCTTATAGGAGAGGTTTCACAGGGAGGTGCTCTGGATAAAGGCTGGAACCCCTGACTTCTATGGACATTTCCATTTGTAAAACTTTCTAACATCTTAAATGTGAGGGAGAAATTAACATCAAACAAGAGAATCAAAAGAAACCACATCATTTCCCTATTTACTTTTGTTTTTCCATCTGATTTTCACAAAAACCTAAGTTTATACTGAAATAATGGGGCGCCTGGGTGGTTCAGTCAGTTAAGTGTCCTACTCTTGATTTTGGCTCAGGTCATGATCTCAGGGTTGTGAGATCGAGCCCCACGTTGGGCTCCGCGCTCAGGTCGGAGTCTGCTTGAAGCTCTCTCTCCCTCTCCCTCTGCCCCTCCCACTCATGCTCTCTCTCTCTCTCTCTCTCCCTAAAATAAATAAATCTTAAAAAAAAATTTTAGTGCCATTAGCAAATGCTTAAAATTAACTAAAAAAATAAGAACTTTACCACCAAACTCTAAATATGTTTACTCAATTACAAATTCTTTATCCTGGGGGCACGTAGTCAAACCATATCGCTAGTCTAGCTCTGTGTGTTTGTGTGTATACATACATTTTTTTTGTTTCATCATTTATGAAATTCTCCTTCTAAAACTGATTTTAGCCACACTATAAGGAACCTAAGAAAACCGTTCTCATTATAATATAGTACAAACTACTTCAGCTCCATGTCATTATTAATTAGAACTTTTTTTTAAAACTTACTCAGATTTTTGATGAGGGAAGAAGTGAAATACAGAATTAAGAAATCACTTCCATGAATATCTAGACTCCAAATTAAAAATATAGGTATAGATGTTGTACTTTGTCAAATGCTTTGTTGGTATCTATTGAAAGGATCGTATGGTTCTTATCCTTTCTTTTATTAATTGATGGATTTGTGAATATTGAACACCTCTGCAGCCCAGGAATAAATCCCACTTGATCATGATGAGTAATTCTTTTAATGTACTGTTGGATTCAGTTTTGGTAGTTTGTATGTTTCTAGGAATTTATCTATTTCATCCAGATTGCCCAATTTGTTAGCATATAATTTTGCATAATATTCTCTTATAATTATTTCTATTCCTGTGGTGTTGGTTGTGATCTCTCCTCTTTCTTTTGTGATTTTATTTATTTGGGTCTTTTTTCTTTTTGATAAGTCTGGATAGGAGTTTATCAATTTGATTAATTCTTTCAAAGAACTAGCTCTTAGTTTTGTTGATCTGTTCTATTGTTTTTTGTTTGTTTCCATATTGTTTATTTCTGCTCTCATCTTTATTATTTCCCTTCTTCTGATGGATTTAGGCTTTATTTCCTGTTCCTTTTCTAGCTCCATTAGGTATAAAGTTAGGTTGTGTATTTGAAACTTTTCTTGCTTCTTAAGATAGGCCTGTATTGCTATGTACTTCCCTCTTAGCACCACTTTTGCTGCATCCCAAAGGTTTTGGACTGCCGTGTTTTCATTTTCATTTGCTTCCAAGCATCTTTTTATTTCTTCTTTAATTTCCTGGTTAACCTATTCATTCTTTAGTAGGATGCTCTTTAACCTCCATGTATTTGTGGTCTTTCCAAGTTTTTTCTTGTGGTTGACTTCAAGTTTTACAGCATTGTGATCTGAAATATGAATGGTATGATCTCAATCTTTTTGTACTTGTTGAAGCCTGATTTGTGACCCAGTATGTGATCTATTCTGGAGAATGTTCCATGTGCACTCGAAAAGAATGTGTATTATGCTGCTTTAGGATGAAATGTTCTGAATATACCTGTTAAGTCCATCTGGTCCAGTGTATCATTCAAAGCCACTGTTTCCTTGTTGACTTTCTGCTTAGATGATCTGCCCTTTGTTGCATGAGGGTTCTTAGAGTCCCCTACTATTATTATATATTATCAATGAGTTTCTTTATGTTTGTTATTAATTGATTCATATATTTGGGTACTCCCAGGTTGGGGGCATAAATATTTACAATTGTTGGATCTTCTTGTTGGATAGACCCCTTAATTATGATATAGTGCCCTTCTTCATCTCTTGTTACAGTCTTTGGTTTAATATCTAGTTTGTCTGATATAAGTATGGCTACTCCGGCTTTCTTTTGATGTCCGTTAGCATGATAGATGGTTCTCCATCCCCTCATTTTCAATCTGGAGGTGTCTTTAGGTCTAAAATGGGTCTCTTGGAAGCAGCATATAGATGGGTCTTGTTATTTTTTATCCCTTCTGATACCTTGTATCTTTTGATTGGAGCATTTAGTCCACTTACATTCAGAGTAATTATTGATAGATAAGAATTCAGTGCCATTGTCTTCCTGTAAAGTCACTATTTCTGGAGATTTTCTCTGTTCCTTTCTAGTCTTTGTTGCTTTTGGTCTTTCCTTCCCACAGAAAGGGTCCCCTTTAATATTTCTTGCAGGACAGTTTTAGTGGTCAGGAACTCCTTTGGGTTTTGTTTGTATGGAAAACTTTTTCTCTCTCCTTCTATTTTGAATGACAGCCTTGCTGGATAAAGTATTCTTGGCTGCATTATTTTTTCCCTTCAACATGTTAAATATATCATGCCACTCTCGTGCCAGATTTCTGTGGACAAATCTGCTGCTAGCCTGATTTGTGTCTTCCCTTGTAGGTTAGGGATTTCTTTTCCCTTTCTCTTTCAGGATTCTTTCCTTATCTCTATATTTTGCAGATTTTGCTAAGATATGTCTTGGTGTTGGCTGGCTTTTGTTGAATTTCATGGGAGTTCTCTGTGCCTCCTGGATTTGGATGTCTGTTTTCTTCCCCAGATTAGGGAAGTTTTCATCTATAATTTGCTCAAATAAACCTTCTGCCCCCTTTTCCCTCTCTTCTCCTGGGAGTCCTATGATAGGAATGTTATCACACTTTATGGAGTCACTGAGTTCCCTAAGTCTATATTTGTGATCCAATACTTTTCTTTCCCTCTTCTTTTCAGCTTTATTATTTTCCATAATTTTATCTTCTTTTTTTAAAAAAGATTTTATTTATTCATTTGAGAGAGAGAGGAAGAGAGAGAGAGCAGGGGGGCAGAGGGAGAGAGAATCTTAAGCAGACTCTGTACTGAGTGTGGAGCCCAATGCACGGCTTGATCTCAAGACCTGAGCTGAAACCAAGAGTCAGAAGCTTAACCGACTGCACCACCCAGGTACCCCTATAATTTTATCTTCTATTATCACTGACTCATTCCTCTTCTTTGTCCGTCCTTGTTGTCATTACAACCAATTGGTTTTGTATCTTGGTTATAGCATTTTTTTTATTTCAGCCTAACTAGTTTTTAGTTCTTTTATCTCTGGAGTAAGGGATTCTCTAGTGTCTTCTATGCTTTTCTCAAGCCCAGCCAGTATCCTTATTATTGTTGTTTTAAATTCTGGTCCAGGCATATTACTTATATCTGTTTTGATTAGATCTCTAGCTATGACTTCTTGTTCTTTCTTTTGGGGTGAATTCCTCCATCTTGTCATTTTGTCTAGGTCACTACTTCTTTGTGTGTGTTAGGAAAGCCTGTTTATACTTCTTGCTCCTGAGACTAATGACTGTACTAAGAAAAGGTCCTATACTGTCCAGGGCCTGGTGCTTCAGGAAGTGTTTCAGAGTATGCACTCTGCTCTTCTATTTTGGCTGCTCTTTCCCTCAGGTCAGTCCTCTGCAGAGTTTCTCCTTGCTCGCTGTGGGAAGTGTTTGGACCTTGTTCAGTATGTGGCATTTTAACTAGGTGTGCTCTGGTCTGTTTATTAAAATAAGCCTGATCCTACTGCCACGGGAGCTGAAGCTCGCAACACTCTATGATCAGGAGACTTGGTGCATGCAAGGGGTTTGTGCTGGTCTTCTGGGGGAGGGGCCCGCTGCACTGTTTCTCAGGTTGACTTGCCCTAGTACAAATGCACCTGCGGGCTGATGGCTCCAGCCTCCACTGAGGGCGCTGTGTTGCTCACTGAAGTCTGTCAGTGTTGATGGGTGGGGGGGAAAACGGCATTGCCCCACTCTCTTATCTCTGGAGCAGGGAGTGTGCACCTGCTACTCTTCAGAAAGCCTTCACAGAAGAGCAAACTTTTTCCCCTTTCCTGTCCCCAGCTTCCATGAGATCTCTGCCTTCACCCTGTCAGCATCCACACTGTCTGCCTGCCAGGCGGCACAGTACTCCTGTGTTTTATCTCAGGAGTGTGGTTGGGTTTCAAAACTCCAAATTTTAGGGGCCCAGTGCTTTGCGGATCCACGCTGATCATCTGCGGGAGGGTCTCACCATGCTGTAGCTGGTGCCAGTTTGTCCCAGAAAAGCAGCCATATAATTGCATGGGGGCTTGGAGTTTATGGTAAAGTGCAGCAAAAAGCTGGCCCCAAGGTTTGCTGCCCTCAGCAGATGTCTCTGTTTCTATGCTAGTGAACGGGGCAGTACATTGGTGCCCGCCAGCGCTTTGTCCCCTGAGAGGCCATGCCACATCTCCCAAATGCACTCCAAGAAAGAGAACTGTTTCTCCCCCAGCAACCCAGGGGATCTTCAGACCATGCTGTCCACTCCCAGACTTCTGCCCTTCTTCCCCACAGGACCACTGCTATGCCCACCAGGCTCTACCCGGCAGTGGCAAGGACTTCTAAAACTTCGGACTTTGAGCTCTCTGCTTGTAAAAACTTGCCACTCTAGTTCTCCCAGTCAGTGCTTTTGGGGAAGTGTTTCTCTTGCATAATCCCCAGGGCGCTGCCTTCCATCTATATCTTTATCTCTCTCCTTTCTCTGAGATCAAGGCTCCCTCCCCTCTGCAGCACCCGCGATTCTTTCTCCCTAGAATCATGTCTCTGCACTTCCTACCTTCCATGATGTGACTTCTTTTCTCCCTCTAGTTCTGCATTTTGTTCTCTCAGCGTTCAGATCGATTCTCGGATATTTGGAAGATTTTATATGTATCTAGCTGTGTTCAAGGGACGAGGCAAGCATAGGATCCCCCTATTGCTCTGCCATCTTAACTTTCTGTACATTATTCTTTAGAACAAAAGATCTCAAATGCAAAGGGAATGAATATGAATTGGAAAGTTGCATTGGAAATGGAGAGCTGGAAGCCCATAGTTTATGCATTCACTTCTACTTTCAAGGTTTGATATGCTCCAAATTTAACTTTTTAAGTAACAATGGACATATGTATTTATACACACATGTGATCTTTCAGTCCTTGTCGCTAGATCTCAAGTTACGGCAGGACCAATACATCCTTCATTTGATTCAAAATAGAGCTAAATTCTCACTTCTGTTAAGTCTTTCTGACTCCTTCAATACAACAGCTCACAAACATCTACTAGTCATATTTCTATTTGTTTTGAAAGTTCCCTGTCCTCGAACACAGCTTACATAATATTATGCTGAGCTATTAAACATCTGCAGATCATGCCAAGGGTCTCAACATCATATCCCGCATATATGGCAACATCCTACACTATAGTTTTGCTTGTTTCCCTGTAAGAGTTCTCACAGAGTTCACTTCTGAGGAACAAGACGTAACGAGGGAATGAGGTCAGGGGAAGCATACGTAAAATCAAGTCATAACAATGTCTTAAGGAAATCACTTTGCCCTCTCTGAAACATTTCTACTTTGAATCTTTACATGTTTCAGAAAATTAAAATAACATAGTAGAAAATAGAAATTAGTGGCCAAAGTAGATTCTACTGTTTTAATTCACCTCTAAGGAAATTTACTTTCCTTTTCACTCTGATCCAGAATTCAAACGAAAAGTAAGTAGGTGTTCCCATACCTGTCATAGCCCAGAGGATGAGGAGAATGACCATCAAATTTGGGACTGCTTCTAGAAATTGTATTCCCTGGTGATATATTATTTATGCGCTGTAATACACAAAATATATAAGCAACATTTGGTTATTCCATATTTATACGTAATACATATACACATATACATATATATAGCACACTAATTAACTTCTAATGTAATTAAAAGTTTGGTATCCTACATGAGCAAATGTGAGCACAGACACCAAGGTAACTGCCCATAGTACTCTCTCCTCATTGTGTCTTAGATCCAAACACCATTGCATAAGCCATAAAGGGGTATCCTGGTTCCCCACATTGGCCAGGACCCTGCAATACCAACTTCTTTGGATTTATCTCTTCTCAAACTATAATTTGGCTCAGTGACTGACTTGTCCATACTTAAAGCTATGGCAAAGGAACCCCAAACTCGAAGCTGACCCCCAAAAGTGGGAGAAGAGGATTTCTGGCACATGTAGTCTGGGGAAGTTCCTCAAAATTCCAAGAGGGGCTTAGCTTGTTTCTGTAGCAGGGTTTTAAATCCAAGGACTCCACTCTGATCATCTCATGACCATAAAGAATACTCAGTGTGTCTAAGTGCACTCCTCTGCCAGAAGCACCTTCTACCTCCTCTGAAATGGGAAGTATTTCTTCCTACTTCCATGAGATTTCCCAATTTTTCTTAAATCATTGCTATCTGTGCACATCCTAACTCCCTACACTACACTATAAACTCCTCCAGGACCCAGGTCATACCTTATATGTCTTTCTCTGGTTTCCCTGAACAGCTAACAGAGAGTTGGTGAACATCTAGGCATTTATTTCTGCAGAGGGGTGGCATATTCTTTAATTTGGGAAAATATTGCCTCCTCTTATTAAATGAAATAGTTTCTCATTATTGTAAGCTCCCCCTTTAAGAAAATACATGATCTTCATCAAAATACTCTACTACAAGAACAAAATGTATTATAAAATTCTACTGCATACCAAAGATCTGTTGAACTTGCTGTAACTGTTTTCAAGGGCACTCCTAAGGCCGTCATTACTGTCATGTAACTTCCGGTTAGCTGTTCTACAGAGCAAATAAACAAACACATAAGGAAAGTTGGGGTAAAAGCCACTTTCTTTGCAGGCTGTGAAGTTCAGAACACAGAATTACTTACCACCTCTTGCAACTTTCTACCACTTCCCTTCAAACCTTATTAACCAAGATCATAATTCATTACTAGAACTATAACTTAATTGAGGGATCCCCTCTCTTTTAAAGGTCTCGAGGCATTTCAGGAATTAGCTATACTGTTGGAACCCATTGTTCCCTCAGGTAGCTTCAAGGTACGAACAGGTTTCCTGCGGGTCTCTGCTTCCTAAATGCCTGGCCCCAGCTGGCCCCATGTGCTGCTGCTCTCTGTCCCCCTGCACGTGTCCCAGCCAGGCGTGGAAGCCATGTATTATGTCACACTTCTTTCTCCTGGCTACTCCCACATCTTCCTTGTGGCCTGATACTGTCCACCAGGGTACCGATGAAAGGTTCTGATGTTGACTCTAGGTTCAAACCCCATGCAGGCATGTACTTTCCATATCATTGATGGGAGTCATCTGACCTGTCAGAGCCTCAGTAACCTCTTCTACAAATGGAGGACAATGCCACCTGAGAGTGGCCCATCTTTCCATCCTTCAGATCTCAGCTCAGTTGTTGTATCCGCCAGAACACTTCCTGGACCTTCCTGGGTAGGAGGAATCTCTGTACTATATGCCCCAGCAGGTATGCCCCTTCCCTCTGTCCCACTTCTCCTTTGGCATTTTATGTTTATTTCTATAATTAGTGATCAGTTTCCATTTTCTTCCCCTAGATGAGCCCCATAAAGAGACTTTTTTTTTTTTTCTTTTCTTTTTACTTGCCGCTCTATCCTCAGCTCCTGGCATACCTGACCTGTAGAAGTTGCTGAATGAAAACGTGCTGGATGAATGAATAAATGAATGAGCAGGATTATTGTAATATGTCAACTCTCTAACTGCCACCAGTGAGACTTAACAGGCATGGTGAAAACAAACTTGCCAAGCCTGACCTTACTTCCTTTGGGAGGACAAACCAGAAGAACGTACATGAGTAAAAAAGGGCATGGGAGTAGAGGAGGGGGAGGGTTTGTGGAGAAGGCTCTCAGAGGCTGGAATTATGGTAACACAGGTGTGAAGTTGACAGAGCAGGTATAATATTTCCAGTAGGGTTTAAAAAAAAAAAAAAGCCTAAGAAAAATAGCCATCTCACCAAGAACAATACATTGGGCAAGAATGATCGTGTGTGTCTAGTGCTGTGACGTGAGCTAACAGGAGATTCCTGACAGCCTCCTGGCATGCTGGGCTGTAGAGACAGCCACTGAGGTCAGAGCCCTGAGTCTTTATGGAGGTATAATAACATCTCACCTGACTTGCGAGGACTTTGAGAGAATCAGACTCTAGTCCCTGGATTTGAATAGTTTATTTAGGATTAAAAGCAGGAGAAAGCGAAGTGCTGAATGCACCACAGTGAGAAGAAACACGCATGGACCTGCAAACCCAGTCTTGAGAATATGGCAACTCGTGTGACATGGGGCATGTGTCTTATTCACAAAACATCAGGAAAATGTAAATGTAATGAGCGTTTTATATGAGAACTTACTGGAGTATTTCAATTTGCCTCTCAAGACTATTTCGATCTTCTGTGTACTCTCGGATTATTTCCAGATCCCTGTAAAACCATATTTTATGTTTGAACGAGAATTAGGTATCCAGTCCTGCCTTACACCTACCCTCCCAGACCCCCTTTCACCTTTCTCAAAGACCTGTGTCCTTGGCCATGGTCTTCTATCTCCCGGGGCTCCCACTTAGTCCCTCTGTGCCTTCAGCAGCCCCACACGCCTGCACACCACCCCCCCCCACTTCCTGTGCGAGGTCCTGCTCTCCCTCCCAAACCCAGCTCTGCTCCTCACAGGACATCTTGAGCCTTCACCTTCTGCTAAGCCCCCTCTCCCCAGGGACTCATTATCAGTCCCTTCAATGCAGCGTGCTCTCTCCCCTCTGACCCTTCCCTGCTCCTTCCCTGCCTCACGCAATCCTAACCCAGCTATTTGCCTCCTTCCTGGTGATTCCTTCTCCTCTCCCCACCTGGCCCTCCCTGCCTCACCCTAAACCACAGAGGAGTCCACAGGACCAGGCTTTCTCTGTCTGCCATAAACCCATGCTCAGTGATTCCTGCTGCTTTATTACAAAGCCCTAGTCTCCTCCCTATAACGTCCCCTGAGAACATTAGCCACTCACCACCAGCCCCTATTCCGCCTCAGCCCCATTTCTAAGCAGACAAACCAAAGACTCTCAGGCTCTCAACTGTTATCTACAATAACCTGTCTG